GAGAGCGGCTAGGAGTAGGGATTCAAATGATTCCGCTAACTCCGCCCCCATTTTACTATCGCATACTTGGCAACTCTGAAAATAAAACCAGTGCTACAAATTACAAAAGTTTATCTTTATCCTTATATTTTACATAATTTTAGAAAAAGATGCGGATACACTCACTGCGCACTGATTGACAAATGGAAATTGTCATAAAATACCTGCTCGTCGCATTTTGACATGACAATTGAATAGAAGCCGCTGATTGGTGGAAAGGTGGAATTCGAGGTGGGATTTATTTTTTTGCAGCGTTGCTTATTTTTATTGAAAAATAATCGCTTTTCACATGTTAGAGAAAGATACAAAATAACACAAGGATTAATAAGTAGTGGGGAGAGATGCCGGTTCCTGGCATGTAGTCAACCGATAATATGTCTGTTCGCAGAGAAATCACAAACCAGTCAGACTGAATCTCATTGGTTGAAACTAGTTTTCTGACTGTTTTCAACCAATGAAAATCGCTCTGACTGGTTTGTGATTGCTGTGCGAACAGGCCTATTATTATTAGGCCTATTCGGGTTTGGAAAAAGGACGGTTCTAGAACGGTTCAAAACAATCGTCCAGTTTATTGATCAACAAAATAACAACGACTCAACTATCACAAATTTCATTAATAAACTGTGCGATTCTTCTGGACCGTTCTAGAACCGTACTTTTTCCAAACCCGAATAGGCCTATTTGTTTATTGTTCTGTCTATCTGTGTTAATAGGTCATTGGTTTGGTGCAGCCTAGCCGAGTTCAGAAATGCGCGCTTTCCAACTGTCTGTTTTTTTAGAGTGTTAAATTTATTCACGATACGACGAAACGACCAAACAGCAAACAGCCTAATTTATGAAATCTTGAAACCGAAAAATACCGATAAGAACCGATTAATTTATATCGGTTCCGGTTCCCTTACACCATTTCTATGAATATGGGCTGTGGTATTAGCGTTAGCGGAGCCCGCTACGTAACGGGAGTTAGCGGATATCATACCGTAACGCTATAGTTCTTTTCACGTGGCTCCGGTTTAACTAACCGGGTTACAAAACGGTTAGAGAAATGATATAGGTACCGTTTTCTAACCCAGTTACAAAGTGACGTGTTGAATACCTACCACTCGAATTTGAGCGGTATGTTGCGGTTTGTTAAACCGGAGCCACGCGAAAAGGGTTTATGCTTTGTCAAAATTAGTTTATGCTCCATTTACGTCTGCAAGAACAGCAACTTCGAATAATTTTTCCATAAAAACACCAAGGGAAAATTAATCAAACTCAGGAATCTTCAGGATAAATAAAAGTTGGCAAACAAGCAAAAAAAAGTTGGGTTAGATCACTCATTTCAGCTGCCAAAATGTAAACAGAATAAAGCCTAGTGCTCATAACTGCGAAATTCGCATTTTTTTGACATTGCTTCGACAATTTGACGTTTGATACACGCATAAAACGTCAAATTGTCAACGCAATGTCAAAAAAATGCGAATTTCGCAGTTATGAGTACTAGGCTTAGGAGATTAGACGATTTTTGTGTCTTCGTGTCCGAGAACTATAAAATACCATTCAAAACACCGTATTGTTAGTGGCACCGTATAAGCGTAGCGTCTGAATCACGAGAACTTTCTAATATCGTTCCGGTCCGGAAGCTCGCGGAATCATAACCTGTGGTGCTAACACCGTACGTCAAGGCGAGAAACGACATGCTGCCTACCGATGTTGTTGTATATGGTTGTTCGGGAGAGGTGGTTGCCTGATCATTTTATGACGTCATCTGGTGTGTCTCAATAGGTTTGTTTCTGCTGGAATCATAAACCAATCAGAGTGAATTTCATTGGTTGAAACCAGAGATGGGCATCTACGCGTAAACAAAGATATTGTCTACGTCTGGTGTAAACAACGCATAGACAATGTAAACTATGTAATCTATGTCAACGTGGAAAATATGTAGGCAACGCGTAAAATATACAATCTTTGACAGTTGGCAGGCCTTTAAGGTTATGTTTCTGTTTTTGCTTTGTTTTGTTTTTTGCCTTGTAATGTTAATTAAACTGCAGATAATGTCTAATTTGATATAATATAAATTTAATGCAATGCAAACTTCCAAAAAAATTGCTCAAATTTCAAATTTTCTGTTGTCTACATAGTTTACATAGTCTACATGGAAAAAAATGGATGTAAACAATACGTAGACAACGAGTAGACAAACCGCGTAAAGTAGATTTCATAGTCTACGGCACATCCCTAGTTGAAACCAGAAACACTACTATTTCTGACTGTTTTTAACCAATAATATTCGCTGTGACTGGTTTGTGATTTCTGCAGAAACAGACCTATTATGTTGAGGAAATCTCCATAAGGCACCCCAGATCCGTCATCAAGTTATCCATGACAACCTATTAAATTTAAGTACCTTGGCTGCCTATGACATGCTTCCTACGTCATCATTGGTGCTTTGGCATGATAGGGGGCTTGAGATTGAACTACACAGGCCTTATGAGGATATGCTATCTTGTAGAAGTAGTGTGTAATAATTATCCTTGGATAGTGTTGACGTCCCGCAGACCTCGGTGTATTAATTGTATTGTATGCGATTCACTTTGTACATGTGAGCTAATTTTTTTGTCGATTTTGAATATAGAAAAGGTGATTTTAATATTTAGGAATTCGTTTTTTTGACCTATAGTATTTTAAACTCCGATAATGCCTTCTTCGTCAAGAGTTGAGGTCTATGGATGACGTCACCAATAGTGGAAAGTTGTCGCGTGGATATGGCAGACACTTAAGGGCGAGTCCCCCACCGGCGTAACTAGCGGAATCGGCATGAACGTCAATTCTACGTCAAATTTGGCGTAACATCCCGCATGTAATGCATCACAACCAAAACATTTTTTAACTCAAATATCTTGTTTATTTTTTGCCAGGTTGTAATTAAAATTTACTAATTTGTTGTTTTAGTTCTTCTCCTTTGGTTTTCTGTGATTGTTCTATCATATGTATCAGGAAAAACGAAGACCAACGTCACAACTTCGCCACGGTTACGCCAAAAAGTTCAACCAAACCCAACTTTTTGCCGTAGCGGCAGCGAAATAACAAAAATTCAAGATGACTGCACTGCCACCAATGAAATCGCACAAATAGGTTCGTTCCAACCCAGCCAAAAACCGTTCAATGTACGGTCACGGTCATGCGCCATAGGTTAAAGGCGTTCCAACCGAGAAATGATCGTTTACCGTACAGTTTCGTTGGCGTTCCAACCAAACCTGGGATCGTTCGAGAACTGGTTTTAGCACCGTCATTTCGATCCCGAGTGGAAAGCAAGAACCGCGTGGACTGATTCATGACTGACATGCGTAATTCAATTTTTGTCACCTGTTGTTGTTGTTCATGTTGTTGTTAAACAACCAATTTCCAATCTAACTTATAAAACTGTAGCATTTTTATTTTTTCAAGTGAAAAAAGTACAAATTTTTTTATCAGCTATTTGCTAATGCTTGATGTTATCAGCTTGCAAGGATTCAGTTTCAGATTCTTGATAATGAATCAGCGTTGGTGTTCGATTTTCATTTTTTATATATTATTTTGTAATCCTAATCCTATATTCTTCTATTTTAATTTGCAAACAAACAAATTTAGGGTTAAAGTTATTTGAACTGTCGTCATTACAAAAACCATCATGAAACCGTTCCAACTACCCGTTGTTTCTGTACCAAGATAAAACCGTGCAAGGTCAACGCATGCGCCTGCAATCGATCCTAACAGTTCCGAAACCGTTTCATGACGATACGAAAACGGGGGGTTGGAACGAACTATTAAATCATGTGATTAGTTACTGGGCGTCACACCGAGTGCATACACCAGCCATGTTTTATTCATGGCTGGTGGACATGGCAAAAATTTCCAGCTCAGTAGTAAGCAGTTCTTTGAGTCAGTGTTCTTGGCGTTTAACTGCAGAAAAAAATCGTAAATAAGCTAAAAATGGTTCAATCCGCAAGCTTTGATGTTTTTCCGTCAAAGGATTTTTTTCAAAAATCCTTTTGCAATCCGGAATTCTATGTCATGGGAACCTGAAGTACCAGTTCTCATCCCCGAATCACGGATACAGTATTTTGCGTAACCTTTTCCAGTGGTCGAAAATTTTGGGAATACCTAGATACATATTTTCAAATTTTCACGGTAAAAAATTAAAGCGGAATATTGCTTTTCTTGTCTTGCTTCAAGCAGATCTCAGCAGATTGGCGTTCACTTGTCCCTAGGGTTGCCACCTGTCCGGTTTTCACCCGGACTGTCCGGTTTTTCAAAGGTTTGTTCGGTGTCCGGATGCATGATGAAAATGTACGGGAATATCTGGATAACTATATAATTAATAATAATTAATACTTAATATAAAATTTATAAAGGCGATTGCCGATTGCCGAACGCCTTAGGATATACCCAACTAATTCCTGAACGTTCCTACTTCTTGAATAACGGGTGCGTCACGAACGTCTCCGGTTTCCAGTTAGCGACAGAAAAGTGGACTTTTTTTGCCTAGGCAGAAAAGTTCGTATTGCTTCCCATTCAACAAACGTTATCAGCGCAATTGATAAACATAAAAAAGATAAAATAGACCATAACTATGAGGAGTGGCGTTTGAAATTGAGTAGATACCTTTTTTAATTTTTTTCTAAAAATTTATTTTACAAATATGAGTGTAAATTATGCTACAAAAAAAAGTTAGCTTTGATTATGTACGGGTTTTCGCAAATCAAAAGGTGGCAACCCTACTTGTCCCATATATTATAAGCTCATAAATAGCAGCTCTTAGCAGATCTTTCTATTTTTCGAGCAGGTACAGCAAGTACAAAATGAACAACCTATTTCCTATTTGACTAGATTCGCATATCGTCGTAGATGAGAGTACTTGGTACTACTACTAACTAGTATCCACTGAATGCATCCGTCAGACCGTCAGGCGTCAATGTTACCAATAGAAGAACAGCAAAATACCCCACTTTTGACAGATAAAGTAGAAAAGGGAAAGGAAAATTCCCTTTTGCTTCCTGCCATTTCTTGAAGTTTTGGTCGGTTTCGAGGAAACGTTTTTTGCAACAATTTCCCAAAATTTTCCGGATTTTTAAACTACAAAGGCTTCTCCATCACATCTTTATAAATCAAATTACATTAATTCAGGTAAGTTTTGTCACTCAACATAATACCTTGAATTTTAATTAAATTTTGTGGTTAGATTGCATTGACCTTTCTATTTTCTGCGGATATTTCCTTAACTAGCCACACAAAAAAAAAGATAAAACGTATCAAATCATTCACGCTTTCTCGAAATTATCGTGCGGACACGTTTCAAATCGATATATCATTCAAAATTGTTGAATTGCACTAATTAATTCCAGACACAAATTTGAATCAAACCAAACATGCCATCTGATGCAAAAAAACGTGAACAGCAGCGCAAAAAGGATGCTGCAAAAGCAAGACAGACTGGAAAGAAAACACAGAAACCTGAAGAACTAAATGAAAAGCCCACCACCAACGGAACTAATGGTGCTACTAATGGTACTGTCGAGCTAACTGAAGAAGGTAAATTTACAATTATTTTATACAAATTCTTTATAGTTTTCCTAGGAATTTCAATCTAGGTTACACTAAAGAGCAATAATAATTGGTCTTTTATAAAAAATCAGTGGTTGATTTGAAATCAACTGGATATTAATTCATCCTCAAATTTATCAATATAAACTGGAAAAGCCTTTGTTCTGGTTTCCTATTTTAATTTAATAAACAAAGTATATGATGATAATAATAATAAGTTTGTTGAACAACTACCTATTTTACAATTTATACTTGGGAGAATTTACCTGTAATAATAATAATACATAATAATAATCCTTTATTTAGCACATGGCTAATACATAAAAAAAAAACACAAAAAAAAGGTACACATGCAAATTCCTACACACCTATTAAATCTCCTTAAAACTAAGTCATTGATAATTTCTCACAAAGGAAAGAAAAAACAATATATAAAGTATATACTCCCTACTCCTTAAAATTACTCACAGAAAATTACAAAACTAAAATATAAAAAAAAAAGTCAACCATGTCATCACCCTGCAAGTGACTCTTCAATCTATTTTTGAAAATTTGCAGACTACCTGCGTTCATTACGCAACTGTCCAATTAACCTCTTATGATAGACTGCCCTTTCTGACCAATTTTTATTTTTCCTGGGAACATAAAAATTATCCTTATTTCGTGTTTGATAGTCATGAATTATACTGATAGTGACCAATTCATCAGTCAAATAGTTCGGGGCTAGCCCATTTTTTATTTTGTAAATAAGCACCAACACCTGAAATTCCAGAAACTTTTCCATAGAAAGCCACTTAAACTTAATTTTATGGGTGTATCTCTCCTTTCTCCCAAAATTATCCTCATGGCTCTATTTTGCAATTATGAGCTTTGTTCCAACCCAGCAGGAAACCCTAATATTACCCTCAGGATTCTGCACAAAACCTAAAATTTTTGCATAGAAACAGAAATTCGTATACAGAGTGGTTCCGAAACCGTTCTGAGACGGTTTTTTGACGAGTTGGACCAAACCTTTTGTGATCTAAGTATTTATTTCATTCTTGTTCGCCAGATACAGCACAGTTGAACCCAATGAACTATAACCAAAAACTGGAATGCTAACACATAAGGACGAACTTGAAGCCTAGTGCGGCTGCTGCGGAGGGGATACCTGTTTTTGTCACACACATTATGTTAAATGGCGAAAATTGCGTATTCCAATAGACCTGTCTCGCATAAATAGAGAAAGAGAGCCTAATTGTGATAAATACAAGTTAGAAAGTAATAAAAGATGACATGCGCGCGCAACTCGTAGGTTCAGTGTAGCCAGATTGTATTATTGCAGAACAAATAAAGACAATACAAATCGAACATTATAACATTAAAGAAGTGATATAGTGTCAAGTGTTTTACAACGCCTTGAATCAGACAAAAGAAGCGCTTGAAAAGTTTATGTTAACATCGTTTACACTTTTATTTTGATAAATGTTTCATCCGGCAACATTGCACAATGAAATTGCAAAGGAATATGTCAAGTATAATCTGACAAAACCTTGAAAGACACTGCGGTGAGTTCAAGTAATATGTAAAGTATTAGTTTGCTCTTTGTCGAATTACACGTTACAAAGAAAGAAGGAACGATTCACTCTGAACTGGCCCCTGAATAAGAATATGACGCAAACCTGTACCAAACTTGCTTCTCATTGGACGCTCACCTGCAGCCTACAAGCGACGCGCGCAGGCCAGGTAATAGGAGATCGGTCTATTGATGAACCCTGTGAAGGGAAATATGACAAAACTTTCGAAAACGTCATATATCAGCGAGCAACAGAAAAAAAAAAACAACATTCCCCCTTGTGGCATCTGCCTTTCATGGCTTCATATTTTTGTCAGATATGGCAATGTGTGCGCATTCCAGTTTTTAGCTATAGTTCATTGGTTGAACCATACACTAAGTGGGGCAGCACCAAAGTATTGAAGACTCTCATCCTTGACCACTGTGTCAAAAACCTGGACATTATACAAAAAATTAATGTTTTTGGTTAATTTATCAATTGTACAGGGTGGCCCAAATTCGAGCCTCATCATTGGGATCTCGTTAACCGTAAGAGATACAGAATCAGTTCAATTATGGCAAAGTTGTGCAATTTTATGACTAATAGAGTGCCGTTTTGAAACTAGAAAGATTCCGAATACTTCCGGAGATATTTGGAAAAAACCGAAATTTTGTAAAATCGTTTTTTTTTTCCTAGGCTTATTTGAAGAGCAATTTTAAAATAAATGTCCCTTCATCATTGTCATTTTTTTCCCTTTAGAAGATGGTGCTACTAAATTTGAAATTCTACGTTTTGTCTTCAGGCCGCCATCCTCAACTTCCTTTTTTTAAATGCAGACCTGGATTTTTTTTTTGTGATTTTGTCATCTTTGGGCATCCTAAAACCGATACTGTTTATAATTTTTCAATAACACAGTAAAAAAAGCAGGTCCGTATTTAAAAAAAAAAAATTCATGATGATTCCAGAGGAACGAAACGTTGGATTTTAAATTTAATATCGCCACCTTGTAGAGAAGAAAAACTTACAACAGGAATGTGAAATTAGTTTTTCACAATCTTTTTAAATAAAATCAGGAAAAAATGAAAACTATACGAAAAAAACATGAATTTCTCGTTTTTCTTGAATTTTTTCCTGATTCCATTTAAAAAGATTTTGAAAAACTAATTGCACATTTCCTTTGTCACTTTTTCTTCTCTACAAGATGGTGGTACTTATTCAATTTAAAATCCAACATTTCGTTCCTCTGGAATCATCATCAATTTATTTTTTTACCGTGTTATTGAAAAATTATAAAAAGTATCGGTTTTAGGATGCCCAAAGATGACAAAATCGCAAATAAAAAATCTAGGTCTGTATTTAAAAAACGTAAGTTGAGGATGGCCGCCTGAAGACGAAACGTCGAATTTTAAATTTAGTAGCATCATCTTTTAAAGGGGTAAAAGTGACAATGATGAAGTGACATTTATTTTAAAATTGCTTTTAAATAAGCCCGGGAAAAAATAAAAACGATTTTACAAAATTTCGGTTTTTTTCGAATATCTCCGGAAGTATTCGGAATTTTTCTAGTTTCAAAACGGCATTCTATTGGTCATAAAATTGCGCAACTTTGCCTTAGTTAAACCGACCCCGTATCTCTTACGGTTACCGAGATCCCAATGATGAGGCTCGAATTTGGGCCACCCTGTACATAACATGTGCCTTTAAAAATGACTACAAAACTCGTGTATTAAGAACGAGTCGGTCTATGACCTCGTCGTACTAATCTTTCACACCCATTATTGTAATCATGTTCAGAAACGCACTTGTAATGTAAATAACTATTATACATTGTATGTACAGGGTGTTCCGAAATTAATGTACCAAATTTTTATGGCATATTCTCATATTCTACGTTGAAAATTAGCTCTAGTTTCCTGTATAAACATATGTTCGGAAAAGCTTCCTTTCCGTGATACATTTTTGATACGTTGAAAAAATCTATTTTTTTATCATAATTTTTGAACCACTTTAGATATTTCATTGAAATTTTGTACACTGCTTTCAAGCAGCAAAAGAAATTTTTTGATGTGAAATTATTTTTTTTTAAAATTACCTGTGACGTTCGTACCAGATTTGTATGAAATATTTTTTTAAAAAAATTGCTCCACTGCTTTTTCCGACAGATAGATAATTTATTCAAGTAAAATAATCAACAAGTTATTTGCAAAATTACATCCCACGTAAACACCGTGCTCCATACAATTTATTTTATCTTTCCATTTGAATGTCATTAACCCTACAAAATTTATCAATTAGCATCATTACAATTTACAAAGGGAAACTAAATTTAATTAACCTATCAAAGCAAAAGTACTTATTGGTACCTAAATAACAGAGTTATTTGTATGTACCAGATTCCATTTCTTTTTTTTTTTTAATAAGTAATAATACTTTTTTTAATAAGTAATAAGTATTTCCTTAATATTAGAATAATTACTTAAAAAGATATTCAAATTTCTTATATTCTTTATATAAAAATTTCTTGCAGTTAATCTTAAACCTATAAATATTATTAGTCACCTTCAAACTCCTTGATAACATATTGTAGATTTTAGGACCGAGGTATGCTACACTTCTTAGATTAATGTTATTAAAATTTAACGGAATTACAATGTCTGCATTTATCTTCCCCCGAGTTTCGTATTGATGGCTTATTATATTTTGAAGATATTTATTTAGATGGATAAATGCAGCTACCAATACCATATACAATGTTCTTATATTACATATTTCATCCGAAAAAAGTAACTCTGTAGGATACAACCTATTTTTGCCATACATAATTTTCAATATATATTTCTGTGCAACATTTAATTTTTGAAGAGCATTATCATATAATCCTCCCCATACCAAAATTCCGTACCTAATCAAAGACTCAAGAAGGGTTTTGTATATAACAGTTAACATTTGTCTGCTCAGAACCTGCTTAAGCAGGTAAAATTTACGAATTAATCCACAAATTTTATTTGATAGGTACTCAATATGTGGAAGCCACTTCAGAAACTGGTCAATTATTATGCCAAGATACTTTGTATGGGAAACTTCTTCAACTTTTTGATTATTGACTGTAATATTTGAGAAAGTAGGTCGGTTAGCACTTGTTAGAGAAAAAGCAATATAATTTGTTTTCTTCAAATTTAGAGATAATTTAAAACTTTCCAACCAATTTTTTGTAATCTTTAAACCCTGTATCATTTTATCTTTAACATCTTCCCAAGTATTGCCATTAAAAAGCAGTACAGTATCATCGGCGTATGATATTATAGATCCATTAACATTTAAAGAAAGTAGACCATTAATGTATGTGACAAACAAAACTGGACCAAGCACTGTTCCTTGTGGCACTCCCATCTTGATGACCCTTTCAACACTCAAAATATTATTAATTTTTACTACTTGAGATCTCTCATGAAG